CCTGTGGCCTTGGTGTTATCAGCACCGCACTCTCCCGAGTGAGCCACGGGCCGGCCCTACCAAAGGCTTTTAAAGAAGTAACATGATCCAATTTTCAGTGTGAGAAGATTGCTTTGCTCTTATGTGAGGATTGGATGGGGGCAAATAGTGCAGGCAGAGAGATCAGTGTAGAAGTAACCGGAGTGCAGTTTTGTTGTGTTTGGGTTAAACCTTCTGGAAACTCCATTTTTATTTCACTTGCACAGCCAGCAAAGAGAGAAACTAGATCGAGGGTCCTTGTCAAGATATGTGAATGTCTGAACGAATTTCAGTGAACAAATGTCATTTCCTGTAATAGATTCTATTTTACGTGGTTCATAGAAGAAATCTCCGTACTAGGAACTTTGTTTTTAATGTTGCATTGATATTCCAGGAAGAACTTTGTGCTTAATGGTTTAGGAAAAACCTATGACTGTCTCAGAAAGCTTCTTTCCTCCTCTTAATGGAATTAGCAAAAGAGCCTGTGGAAGTGTAAATAACTTCCTTCCCCATTTGTCTGGTCTTTTTGTTTCCTGTGATCCCGAGTATCACATTTGTGGAATGTGCTTGTTCTGTAGAGGAGCGATTCTGTTTTGTGTTCTTCACGCCTTGTAACTCAAGACAAAAGGCCATTATTGTTACCTTGGCCCCCATTAATCATCAAAAGATTCCTTGATTAATGAGAAATTAATGGGGGGGGGTTTAAGTGATTCTTTGTCCAGACCATAATAAGATGTCCTTGCCCACACACAGCTCATCTCTAGTGACTTCAGTTGTGAAAGATCCATGGATGAGTCTCCCCAGGACACCACTGGGCACCAGCTGCAGTGCAGGCCTGCCCCCCTGTATTAGTCCATTTCTGTTGCTTACAACAAAATACACGGAACTGGGTAATTTATAAAGAAAATGAAATTTATTGCTTACAGTTTCTGAGGCTGGGAAGTCTAATTGAATTATGTCCCCGCAAAACTCATTGAAGCTTAAATTGTGCGGGAGACCAGCTCGGCAGGATTCGTTGGACCTGAGTAGGTGGTGTGGCGTCAGCAAGGAAAGAAAGAGGCAGACCACAGATGTCTAGTGCAAGTGTGGACAACGACCACATGAATCTTGCTTTATTTATATTTTTTACTTAACCTTTTACATGATGATTTATCTTTTAATCAAAACATTTATTATTTTATCTGTACATCTTACTTATACTTACTACTCTTAATTTTAATAACATTGATTAGTTAAGGTTAACAATTTAATATTGCTTATACCCTATATTGATCATTTTAATTTATAATCAAAATCACAATGTTTATACCTTTTATTTCCCTGCCAATAGACTCCGGGAACAGCACAGGGGACAAAGTGAAAAGTTGAACGATCCTACTCAAACTAACAAAAAAACACAATATCATTCTTATTATTACTAAGGAAAGAACATGTTCTTGGTGAATCAAGTGAAACTGTGGGAGTGGGAGAAACAAAGAAATCTGTAACTGGTTGATGATCAATTAGTTGTAAGCACCACTGCACTCGGACCCACCGACTCCCT